AATTCGTCCTCGATAACGATAAGAATTAATTGGTTCGGATGAATGGAATATCCCAACCCAACTAAAAGAATGATATGAGACAAGTACAAAGCTAGAAATACTCGTCTTAATTGGTACATCTGGTCGTAAAACTTGATCTCGAAAATCCAAGCAAACATGAAAACAAAGATAAGGGTTTTCAAAGGATTTGCAAAAGTCCAAGGAATTGAAAGATTTCTCCCGAAGGCCAAAACAAAATAAAAGAATGAAAATTTGTCAAAGTTTACAACAAAACGCAAGTTCGAAAAATACAAGCGACTCTACGCCGCACAATGCACATGCTCCAGGTTTAACTACCCTCCTTAAAAGATCCTTCATAATCCTTTAAGGCAAGACACCTTCCTTGAATTTGTCGTCAACTCCCGATCGGGGAAAACTGTTTCCGATGCGTCATACGATTAATCACAACAAGATAAATGGCCGTCGTTGGCCTCCTGGTCAAGTTACCACAGTGACTTGCGCCGACCTTTGCGTTCTCGAGTGCACAGACTCGGAGTTATCGCAAACAAATATCACAAACCTTGTGACAATCAAGGTTTAGCAGAAAACAATTATGCTTATTCTTCTTCGTACACAAAGTCTCTAAACAAAGTTAGTTCCAAGTATCAAATACAGGAATTGCGCAACGGTTTGGAAGATAAAACACAAAAAACAGAAAGATTGATAGACAACACACGATCTCGATTTCCCGGTCAGTTGTCCAATCCTTGTTAACTTCATCCTCGTCCTAAGTGAGGGCATACTCACGGGATTCTTTCTCTGTATTGACCAAAGGTCGAGCAGAAGAGTTCACCCACGTAAGGAGTCAGCCACATTCGTCCACCGTTGATCCTCTCTGGCGTAGGTCACCAATCTTCTTCATTCGCACCTGAAATGAAATGGCACGATCCTCTTCTTGCCTCAATGCCAGTAGTCGGCATAACGAACGATAACAGAATAGTCGAGTTAGGACTCTGCGTATACAGTACGCTAGATCCACTTGAGTTTACGGAGTTACTCTGTCAAATTGTCAACCTTCGCGGTCAACGTTTATAATCCACACAATAAAAAGTAGCCATCGTTTTCTTTGAGATTTCGCCATCTTCGAGAATCACGTTAGCAATGCTTAATCGATCATTAAAACTCTTGGCTTCGAATGACAACACATCCGAAGCACTAAGTTCCAATCCTCACACTCCAATGATTGGATTCCACCATGCTTCCTCTGGTCCACTTGTCAGCTGCCCCAGACGTTCGAAGGATCCCGCACATTCGGGACCTCTCGGTTGTCTAATCTCGATGAGGCGTCCTGACGTTGGTCACCAGAAAATTATGGTGCATAACGCTAATCTCATTTATCGACGAGGTAGCTCGCACAAGGTGCTAACTCGAAACTTATAGAGAGAAAATTTCTAGGGTCATCACCAAATACTAGAATTCAAATTATAACAAAGGTGGATAGTCCTAAGCCCCATATAAAATAAATAAAACAACAAAACTCATACCTCGAGTTGGCGCGGCGAGACGAAAGCGAGTGGTCGAATGGTCGTTAAACACAACAAGACTAGAGATAGTCTACAGAAACACAGACTAGCTCTGATACCATACTGTAACGCCCCGTTTTATTTTAAAGAATTTACCGAATTTATTTATAATAATCAGAGTTTATTTTTCGCAAAATCCCAATTTAAATCTTTAACATTCAACGGGCGCTACTTAAACAATTAAAACAATTAAACATTTACACAGAAAGAATCTAACAGTTCAAAAATAAAATCTCAATTATTCATAATAATCAAACCAGTCATGCATAATTAAAATACTCCAAAGGAAATTCCGTAGTCTAACCAACATTTCAAAATAACTAAAGCGGAAGCATAATTTATTCAAAGTTAAAAAAATGGTCTATCGAGATAACAAAAGCGGAAGTAAGTAACACATAATCCAACGACCACCACTCGATCGTCTCTCACTACCGCCGCCAACCAATGCTCAACCTATAAAGATAGGAAGAGGAAACAAGAGGACAGAAAAGTAAATGGGGGTGAGTACAACCATCATACTCACCATTACCGCACAGTATATTTCGCATAAAGATCCATAACCATAAATAAAGTATGCATAGAATCCAGATCTAACTCCCTATTAGGCCCTATCGCAAACCTCCTATGTACATACAACAAACCTCCCGACCAGACATCGGCGAGGATGTAACTGGAAGCACTCCCACCCCGGATGCAACGGGCGTAGGATCTTACCAGGAGACAGTGAAGTTGAATTACCCCTCCGCTCAACACGGATTCGGGCGTTCAGACAATCCCCTCCGCTCTACACGGATTCGGGCGCCCACCTCCCGGATACAACGGGCAGGTGACTTCCACTAATTATGCATTCGTCAATGGCGCTACCATCAGGATACATAGACTAGGGTTCTCACGCATACAAAAACTATCGCGACAAACATTTATACGAAATAACAAGTGCGATAAATGTAGATTCAACACAAATGAACCCACCTGGTAGCGATCGAGTCAAACACAAAATAAATGGTAGACGGCGAGGTCGACTCGTCAAATGCCTACATTTATTAAAATAGCCTTATCAAAGACTATTCGACATTTTACTTAGTTCAACTAAGTCCACGTAAGCATTCAAGCATGCATTAAACCAAGGAAGACACATTTCAGAAATTATCACATAAGTTTGGAAAATTTAACCCGGGCAGAGTTTTTGAAATCGATAAAACTTTGAGCAAACCACTCGTATGAATACAAATCAAATTGAATTGGAATCCTAAGTGATTAATCTACAATTCTTATGAAGACATTGAAAGCAAATAAGGTCATTTAGCAGGTGATAAATCAACAAACATTCAAAATTGAGTCACATTCCAAAACTGGGAAGGTAAACTTGACCAGACTTCAGTAATTTCCATATAACTGGAGCTAAAGGCATGCTCTTAATGAATTTTAAAAACCACATGATAAATAAATCAATTGTCTACAACGTTTCTGAAGATCATATTGTCAAATAAGCACATTATCCACGAGTTTAAACACAAAACATGTGATTTGGTAATTCTGTCAAAACTAGCCTGATGACATGGACAGCACCTCAGTTTTTAACCTTTATCGTGAGCTACCGATGTTCAAATGATATGGTTCAAGTGTCACATTAAACCTCAAGCATTCATCTACAACTTTAATGTAGAACACAGAAGCGTATAAGATCATTTGGATAGGGTAAAATCAGTTCACATTCCATATCAGATTCCTGTCCAATTAATAAGTTTAACTCATGCATGTCTAACTTCATGTAAACACAATTCGAGCTACAGAGCACATATAAACATGAAATTTATCTCATTTGTAGGGTAAGAAACAAATATACAACTTTCATGAAGAGTGTAAGTTCATAAGAGCACCTTATGACATGAAAAACAGGTCATACATTAAATACATTTATGCTGCCGGGTAACAGGAAAACTGGACGCGCACAAATCTTGTAAAAATTATAACTTTTTCGATATAGCTCGGAATTGAGAAATTCAAAAGCCCAGATTTAGCAAAGTGAATACACTACATTTCTCATGAAGATCATAACTTCAAACAATTAGTCTCTGATGGCCTAAACTGAGGCACAACAGAACAGCAAAAAAGTGCATTTTCACATAAATGATAGTTTGAAATAACACTTAATCCAAATAATTTCATTTAAATATGTTAAAATATACTTCCAGAAAATATAACATATTATCAAAAAGGATTTGAAGTTTAGTAAAATAAATTTACCAAACACCAAAGGAGAGAGAAGACGGGTTCGGCTTCGGAAGGGCTCGACGAGGACCAAGTCCTAATGGGCGGGGAAGATCATCCGCTTGGCTCGTTCGGTGGAATTTATTGGGTAATTTCCGGCGAACAAAGGTGAGAGAAGTGAGGGTGAGAGATATTCTGAATTTTGAAAGAAAAGGGGGTTCGGCCAGTCGGGAACCATGTGGGCGGGTCGAGTGAACCATGTTCGCCCAAAAATGGTGTGGGGTTCGGTGGCTCGGTTACTCGGTTTGATCGACACATAATAAAAATAATAATAATAATAATAATAATAATAATAATAATAGTAATAATAATAATAATAATAATAATAATAATGATGAATAATAATAATAATAATAATATCATTCGGCTCGTTATTAATTTAATACAGTTAGCAATTAAGAGCATTTAATCGAAATAACATTATCGAGCTCGAATAAAAATAGTTTCGGAAAATAAAATAATATAAAATAAATAACATTAATGATCTCCTAATAATTCCAGAACAAATGGGGCGCTACATCGGCGGTAGGCTCGAGCTGCTGCTCGACTTGTTGGCTCGATCCAGAAGTGGACTTGGCCATGTCCGACAATGGTTGGAAGTTGGGGGAGCTAAACCGTCGGGTAGCGCAAAGTTCTTCTTCTGAGTGTCAGTGCGATCAATGGTGCACTCGAGGATGCCTGACCACCACTCGTGATCGAGTGGCAAGTCAGTATTGCCCTGGAAGCTCTTGGGCACTTTAGGTATGGCATTCCATATAGCCTCCACATCGAGCTCTTCATACTCATCCCCGACTACCTGCTCGCCAGCTTTCTCTAAGGCGAATTGGAAGCAATCGGCGCCGAACTCTTGCACCTCCTTCAAAAATAATGGTTACCGCATGAAGTCGGCCACCACCTGCTCGCGATGCTCTTTGAGGAAGAGTTGCCCGCCTCGGGTGTACCACACCATCTGCCGAGCACGGAGAGCAGCAAGATCAGTCAGACGTTTCCTCTCCTGCTCGACAGTAGCTTTCTCTCAAGCCCGAGCAGCTTTTTCAGCCTCGAGCGCATCCGCCAAAGCCTTTTTCTCCTCCTCGAGGATCTTTTTCTCTCCCTCGAGGGCCGTCACCTTTAGTTTTTCGTCCTTCAGCAGCTCACGAAGCTCGTGGCGATGAAGGGTGTGCTGGTTCACTTCGTTCTGCAGGACGCAGATCCCTTGCTCGATCTTAGGGATCGAGTGGCCTGCACTGGTCGTAGTTTGGTCGACCAAAGGAACAAGCTCGACCAGTCCCTACGCTCACTGTAAAGAAAAGGAATTAACACGTGGGAATGTGCAGGAGTACTAAAACAGGAAAAATGCAAAGGGAAATTTGGAAGTTACCTACGCCAACTCGTGCGCAAGCCGATACCCGTGGGTTCGCAAATCTGAGCTGTCGTCATTAAGATCGGCAGCAGTGACAATGTACCGCAGATAAGACACCAGCTCTTCCTGGCCGACCTTGACCAGTGAAGAAGGCGCAGAAGCAGAAACAACAGCAGTCTTCTCGAGGCGGGGACGCTTATTGGTCCCTTCATCTCCCTCGACCAGGGGACGCTTAAGCTGAGCTTGCTCGACCAGATGGGGGTTCGGGGAGGCGGGTATTTTGTCACACCCCGCCTCACTAGCTTTAAAAATCAAAGTAAAATTTTTGTTTTTATTTTCGAAAGAACGTGCGAGCTTGGTTTTTGAAAATACTGACTTATTGCGGGATGTCACAGATAAAAACTTAACTTAACTGGATCACAGACATATATAAAACATGCAACCAAGCTATCCGCTGCGGATAATGGAATTAAACATGCATAGTCTGTACTGTCTCGCACTGTCTAGAAAACTGGCTAGCGGAAGCATCCGAAATACGAATACATAACATGCATACATAACTGAATAAATATACATGATCATAGCTAGGACATAAAAATGTGCGTAAAATATGTCCGACTCTCATGACCATGCTGCGCCACATCTGTGCTCATTCGGCACGCTCGACTCCGTCTCCTGAAAAACACAATGGGGGCGTGAGCAAACCACTATGCTCCGCAAAGACCAGTACTGAATAAAACATCATCTATAATAACGTGTCATGAACATAAATATATAAGAGCTGAAACTGTAAACTGTTCTTTGCTTTCTTTTCTGATCTGTGGTCAAAAGACCCTCGACCCTTAGGTCGGCCGCTCATGTGCACATGTCGATGGGGTATAAAGGCCCTTAGGTCGGCCCCCACCGGTCTTCAGATGGGATATTTAAGCCCTTAGGTCGGCCCCCACCTGGATACTAACTGTCTCAAACATACCTCTGCCATGGTACAAATATTATCTATGATGTGGAATCCAGTACATGACCCCCACATGAAAATTTGGAATCTGATGCAAATGCTAAACTGGAGTAGCGGTCGGAGGCTCGACTCTCCTTAGGCTACATAAATTTTTAAGCAAAATAATGCTAAGTATAATGCTCGAAATAATTAATTATATGCTAAAATGCTCGGACTGATCTATGCGATTAAACTGGACCGGACTGGCTCGAAAAAATACTAAAAATTCCAGAACGAGACTCGAATCAGAAATCACGAATCAAAACTGACTCGAACTGCCGGTCGAATCGGCCGGTTCGCTGACTGGCCGGATCGCCGGCTCGGCTGAACCGGGCGGTCGGGCTGGGCTCGGTTAGACCGGGCTCGGTCCCTGTGTCCCAATTCACAAGGCTCTGTCCAGTGCCCTTAAGACTAATGGGAAGCGGGAGATGGGGGTACTTACCGCAACTGACTAAACAGGACATATGGGCCGGGCAGGACATGAATCAAACCCAACCTAGAAAGCTGAGGAGCTGACTTCAAACTCAGAAAACCCGGGTCCCCATCCAAGCAACAATCAAGCTTTCTTGTACAAAGTTTGTGTGAATAATAGTACAAGCACTTTCTTTTCATTCTCCCTTGCATATTCTCTTGCCAAGCACTTGCACACACCGAGCACGTTCCAAGCACGGTGAGGCGGACTTAGCTAGCTGTGAAGGGCGCACGAGGGGCTAAGGCCGCACGCAACCGAGGTTCAAGGAACAAGGGCGTGACATTATGCTGGGCACACGGGCACGCACTGGGCGCTGAGGGCGCTGTTGCGTGCACGCGGGCTGTGCCTCGCGCCGCCCGTGCGCGGGCACTGGCTAAGGCTGGCCTCTGCAGGCACGGACAGGCACTGGGGCCGGGCACTACCGCGCTACATGCGCGGACAGTGACCAAGGCCGGCCCTTGCCGGACCTCCGGCGACTTTTCTGGTAACATGCATGACATAACAACTTTGCATGATAAAATAGACACATATATCACATAAAACACTAGTGGACCCCGGGTCCACTTGCATGTTCACTCGGTAGGGCTTATACGGCCCGTACGAGCACTTGACGTCCGAACCAACATTCTCAACATGAAATTTCACTCAGGGCCGAATGTTTTACATCACAAATGATGACTATAATGGCTAACGCTTATGTCATAACTCGCATGCATGGAACTATGGTTCGGGGGACAAATTTAATATAAAATCATGAGCAATATGACCGAACAAACAAACTCAAATCATTTTCAACTTTTTACACTATCAATGACATGATTTTTAAGGGTGATTTAGCTAAGCATCTCGACTTTAACATGCTTGCTACTAAAATTTCATTTTTAAGGCCATTAACTAATTAAATTCGGACTAGCCCTTAAACACATGCATGGCTCGGTTTTTCTTCATTAAAAATCTTAAAACATCATAAAATAATTTTTGGAAGAAGTTGACTCGGACTAACCTTCACCAAAATGCAAGAAACGAAACCTAGGGTATGAATGGGCTAGGCGCGGCTTAGGGACTTAGGGTGGACTTGGAGTGGAATTTTGCCGAGCTTTATTGACTCAAATGACTTATAAAAATCCAAGGAACACTTGGATAGTGATAAGCCACGAGAGAATATGCTTGGAGATGGCTGTGTTAGTGTTATATACTGAAAGCTTGGCTTTGCATGATATTACACATTTACCCTTTATGAATGAGAATCATGTTAGATTAAACAAGTTCTACGTTCTGTTGTTCTGCACTTAGATAGGGTGGGTCGTCATCGGGCGAACCGAAGATCACTCTATCAGTCACTTGCGAACAAGAATAGTTGTTCACAACCTAGATGGACATGAACACCCCATCCGAACGGTTGTAGTGTTAACTGTACAGTTTGTCTTGACTGATTAGTTGCACTAGTACATTTATGTATTGAACAGGATCCCAGAGAGGAGTAGTTCATTTTATACTGATCGTCGTAAATGAACTAGGCCTCGGTTAATTACTGCGTTCTCTTAACCCGTAAGATATTAAACAGGCATATATATATATAATATATATTACATTGATTCACATGGGTGAGGTTCAGTTCGCTGGATTAATATTCCTACTGTTTTGGGTAATATTATTATATATAGGATGTGCTGTTAGGATATTTACGGTCACCATGTGCGTTAGTTTGATGATGTCCCCGGAGTGAGTTCATGAAGGATTGTTATGCTAAACCCTGCAGGTGGATTAAATTCCGGCATAATAAGAATGTGATGAACGAGCGCTAGCTTCGGTGAAATAATAATAAATTAATTAATTCTTGATTGTCAGTAATCGAATTAATTAATGGACATTATATCTTAAACGTGGGGAGGTAAATCGAGTAATTATTATTGGAGTCTCAAATGTAATTTGGGCTAGGGAAAGGGAGTGCAATAATATAATGTTGGTGGCCCATTAATATTATTTAATTAATTAGAGGAGTGGGTTTGGCCCACAGTTAGTCTAATTAATTAAGGAGCCCTTTTCCTAATCTCCTTAGGGTCCCTACTGTAGCTCTATATATACATCATTAAGCTCATGAGAAGAGAATAGAAGTCTCATTCTCACGTGAAACCATCTCTCTCTCTAGATCTCATTCGAGCTTTATCTTCTTCTTGTTGCTCCACTGGTACAAGTTGAAGAAGGGTGTATTGAGTAATACAGTAGAAGATCTGTAGGTAAACCGAGACGAAATTGATTTTGACCTACAGAACTAACCGGAAGTCCGATTGAGACGTACAGTATACCCAGACGACCGTCTCGACGAGAGCTTTCCATCGCCGCCGACGTCGCCGGAATCCGACGCCGCACGCGCCCTCACGCGCCGCCGGAAGGTGTCTGGCAGCAAAATTTCGTTTTGATCTGTTTGCATCCGTTTGATCCAGTTTTGATCTGATCTTGTTCGTGCAACCCAAGACGCGTGTTGCGGTCAATCAATTGCGGTCAACCGTTCGTGGTCAACCAGATCTACATAAATTTTAAGCCGTAAGTTCTCTACGTCAAACCTTTAGATCCGCTGCGCATAGGTTTACGTTTGCTATTGAATTCGTGATTTGTACATAACGAGATCCTCACAGATCCCAACAAGTGGTATCAGAGCACTTGGTTAATTCGTTTTGTACAAAGTTCGAATTTTTACGGCTTTATTTGACAAGATGTGTTCAAACGCAGCCATATATTGGATTATATTTGCATAACTCGGTTTTGCAGGAAAATAGTTAATCCACTATTATGGCCGATTATGTGTTTGATGAATGTTGTTGAATGTGATGTATGGTTTTAAATTTGTTTTTAAAGCCTCGGGCATGTCGAGGAATTTATGGATGAATGTTTGTAATAATTATTCGCCCGGGGGTTGACCGGATAGATTTAATTATTTGTTTAGAAAACATGTACATCCATTCGTTGGATCTAGGATCGAATTATGTAATTTTGTAAATTATATTTTTCGTGTTGTGATCGTGTGTTGATAACCGGGAGATCACAAGAGATCAACGAGCCTCGAAGAATTAAAAAAAAAAAAAATCGGCGTTTTTCCGGCGAACTGGTGGCGGCGGCCGGCGAACCGGCGGTGGCTGGTGGCGGCGGCAGGTGGCGGCTGGTAGCTGGTGTTTTTGCCTTGTTGTCCAAGCAGTACAAGATCAACCAGGATTCTACTGCTTAAAGGAGTTCCAGTTGAACAGGGAAAAGAACTGTCACAGTTTCCTTGTTTAAGGAGACTCAATATTTAATGGCCATAATAGTGGATTTATTTATTTATTTAATTAAATTTATTATGCCATTAAATTATTATTTATGCATGTTAATTAATTATGTTCTTGCATGGGATTAATTTAGTATTGCAAGATTAATTATGCATGTTAATTAATTATGTGATGCATAGGATTAATTTAGAATTGTGTCAATAAATTATGCATGTAATTAATTATGTTCTGGCATGGATTAATTTAGAATTGCATAAATTATTGAACATGTTAATTAATTATTGCATTGACATAGATTAATTTAGAATTGCATGAATTAATATGCATGTTAATTAATTATTGCATTAACATAGATTAATTTGGAATTGTATAAATAGTTAAAAATCCTCATTAAATTATACTAAGTTTGAGAAGGGATTTTAAATTAAAGTTAATTGTAAAATTCCTAAGGCCTCCATTTCTAATTTGTCGGTAAATCAATTAATTGCGGCAATGG